AAGAGGAGATGGGAAAAATTGACACAGACTGAAATAGATTTGTAGGATTAAAGGTTTTCAGAGGACAAAAGAGTGGGGATTTCCTGGCTTTTAATAGCCCCTTGGCTCTCAATAGGAGGCAATTCGTTTGGTTGAGTAAGGATGCAAGTTAATGGTTAACAAATACCCAGGTTGTATTACACAATTGTAGGCACCCTTTGTCAACCTGCTAAATATGAAGTAATACAGAGTGTCTTTGGACAAAATGTCAGTGGTAAGAAGCCACAGCCATGCTGCTGTAGAGAGTTTTAAAGGAAATTCAAAGACTTTGTATTCTGTACTGTGCTTGAAAACATTTAAGTTGTATAACCACCTTATGCTTCTATTCATCCTCCTCCTACACAGAAGGCAAGTACTTTTTGTGTGGAGTATTCACATGTTCATAATTTTCAAAATGATTTCCTCCCAATCTCTTATGGTCAAAGAACTTTTATTAGAGAGAGAACTGTTATTAGAGAAAGAGAGAGAGTATGTGTATGTATGTGTGCATGTATATCAATTCTTTTTAGCCAGAGACGACCAAGAACATGCCTGTAGTTGAAGAAGTGGAGTTTATTACTTATTGCAGCAGGAAAGAATGGATGTTATAGGATACCACGGGACATCTCAGTAAGAGGCTGTTAGACCTATCATTGAATTTGGGCTTTGGTTGAGTAAGTTCAGGAGGATCTAAGGAAGCAGGGACTCATTCTGTATTGGGTACTGTCAGAAGGAGGGACAACTCTGTGATTGGTTATCTCATGAAATCTTATTTATAGGGAGGGCAGACTAGGTTGAGGAAAATCTGTAGTTGGTAAAGAAGTGTCAGTCACTCACTGAGTGTAAAAGGGAGATGTTTGGTATTTTGTGGGTTGCATTGTGACCTTGTTTTTGTGTCACTTTATCATAGTCTCAGAATGACTTCATCTGAAATAGGTGTTCTGTGAGATTATATCCCACAGAGGAACTCAGGTCTGTGAGTGTCAGACCAGCTTGTAATAACATTGATGTCTGGCTGTGAACGTCAGATCTATTCTGGATGTCAGAGACTGCTTTATTTTACATATATCCATATACGAGAGATATATACACATACATTTATATCTTTAATTTTTATTTCTTTTTAAAATTTTATTGAGGTAACTTTGGTTTGTAACACTATAAATTTCAGGTGTACATCATTATATTTCAACTTCTGTATAGACTGCATCATGTTCACCACCAAAAGTCGAGTTTCCATCCGTCACCATACATATGTGCCCCTTTAACCCCTTTTGCCCTCGCCCCTTCCCTTCTGATCACCACCAGTCTGTTCTCCATATCTGTTTATCTTCCACGTATGAGTGAAGTCATACAGTAATTGTCTTTCTTTCTTTGATTTATTTCACTTAGCATAATACCTTCAAGGTTCATCCATGTTGTCATAAAGTACATGATTACATCTTTTTTGTGGCTGAGTAGTATTCCATGTGTGTATATATCACATCTTCTTTATCCATTCATCCGTTGATGGGCAATTAGGTTGTTTCCAAGTCTTGGCTATTGTAAATATTGCTGCAATGAGCATAGGGGTGCATATATCTTTTTTAATTAGTTAACTCTAATTTTTAAATGAGATGCTTATCCTTTCCTTGTTTTGGTGAGTGTAATTTTAATATGTATTGGTAAGAGTTTAAAAAATTCTCTCATAATGTAATATTTTATCAGTATATCAAGACTTATTACTTTAGGATATATTTTTCCAGCTGTATCAGTAGTATAAAATGCAGTGTCATTTGGAAAACTTGTTATATATCTGGGGAATGAGCAGAAAACAGAAGATTCTTGCATTGATCCAGGTGGGAAGTGGGTGGCAATGAGAGCGGAGAGGAGGGGCAGTTTTAGAAATATTTAGAAGATAGTGTGGACAGAACTTGGTATCAGAAGGTAGTGTGTAGGGAAGCCTGGAGAGTGAAGGGTGATGCCTAGGTTTCTACTGACTACTTTGAGTAGGAAGTGACGTTCCTCATTAGAATGGAGAGGAAGGGAGAAGTGACAAGTTAGCAGGAGGATACCAAATCTTAAATAAGAATCCCTTCAGTAGCATGAACCTGGTTGGGAGGATGCTGATTGCTTCTAATTAATTTTGTATGTGCTTAGTGTCTAACAGAGAACAAAAATTTATTGTTTGATTAACAGCAAGAGCTGTTAACTTCCCAAGCAACCAAAATCTTAAATTCTTTTGTCAGCATATTCTCTCCCTATAGGCAAATCTATGTAAGTGATAAAATTACAGTTAGGAGGTTGTTTGATCTGGGTGGGGACATAACTGGGGAAGCTAGCCTGAGTATCTTGATGGCTGCTGTTATCAAGCTATGACATCTGTACTGTGGGGATTTATGCACCCATTATGCAGAAACACAGGTCTGACCTCAAAACCCTGTCTGGAAGCTTTGTGCTGAAATGTTGAGTGCCAGGGATGCCAAAGTGGGTTTCATGTCAGTGCCTAGCACATGGGCTGGCGCATAGTAGGCGCTCAGTGCATATTGTGAGGGGGAGTCTAGGTGTAATAGAAGAGTACCCCGTAAACTATAATTTGGGTCGGCCATGGGTACAGGCAAAGGGTGAGGCTCTGTCTAGCAGACATTTGCCAGCCCTAGTTCAAAACTTTACATTTTTATTACAGAACTGATCCACAAGTTTTTAATAGAAACATTATGAAGGAAGGAAGGGAGAGAGGGAGAGAATTAAAATTTTTCTGTAACCACACACAAATAAATTAAAAGACAAGCTTCCTTTACCTATTTTCATTCTGATATTCTGAACCCATGTAAAGAGGCAAAATACAGAGGAATCTAAAAGGCAGCTGTCTTGGTTGATTTATTAGCTGTGCAGGGACTAGGTTGATCAAGGAAACTGACATATTAAATTTGCTTTTCTTTTGTTTCTTTTTGCCCTTGTCTCTTCTTTTTATATTTGGAAAAGTTTTCCCCCAGCTGACTTCTCCCTGCCCTTAAAAAAAAGAAAAGAGTCACTTTTGCTTCCTGAGATTCCTTTTTTTTCTTCCATCTTAATATTTTAGGTCAGAATATACAATTAAATTTTATCATAGGTGAAAATAAGCAGAGCTTTTCAATGTGAGAGTTGCTTTCTCTGTAAAGTTAAAGGAAAATCACAATTGTTTATTTTAGCTCATTAATACATGCATGTGATGTATAGTTATGTGTATATACATATGTATTTTTTCCAAAGATTGGCATCTGGGCTAACAACTGTTGCCAATCTTTTTTTTTTTTTCCCTGCTTTTTCTCCCCACATCCCCCCAGTACATAGTTGCACATTTTAGTTGGAGGTTCTTCTAGTTGTGGCATGTGGGATGCTGCCTCAACATGGCCTGATGAGCAGTGCCATATCCGCGCCCAGGATCCAAACGGGTGAAACCCTGGGCCCCGCAGCGGAGCCTGCGAACTTAACCACTCGGCCACGGGGCTGGCCCCCTATAGTTATATTTTATTAAATTTATACCTATTTTTGAAATTACGTGCATTTTCCCACACAATTACACTGTGAAAAATGATTTAGATAAACCTACAGAGATGAAAAATCGCTGAATGGTGATGGTTGGGCTGGACTTCCGATGATTGGTGTAGAAGCATTGTTAAAGCTGCAGCTGGTTCCCTAGTTTTCAGGGGCAGTGACCTCATTATACCTTTAAATGGAAGACTGCTCCACATCTGCCTGATCTTTTGCTGACTTGTTCATGTGCTGTTGGGAGTTTTTAAGTTCTCTATTATTCAGGATTTCAAGAACCTCTTGATAATAGTTAAATATAATATTTATATTAATAGATTTTCCGCACGAATTCTCTTTCACTATTTTGGGTATTTTTGTTTTAAGCATTTGCAGCATATAAGGCTTGTATTGTGTAATTGTTATGTTAAGAATGAGATTATACTGAATATGTGAAAAAATAATGGATTCTCTTTGAGTTAGAAGATATCTTAGAGAAAATCTTACCATGTAACGCCCTTATCTTATATATCAAAAAGTTACGACTAAAAGAATTCAGTGACTTCTGAGTTTACTGAAAGAAAAATTATGATTTTTAAACATATAGTTATGAATTATGAGTTTTCAACATATAATTATGAAGAATTATGATTTTTCAACATGTGATTTTGGAATTTAAAATTAATGAACATTGAGTCAGTAAACCAACTGACAAATAATATAGTTTTTATGTTATACTTAAAAAAATTAAGCTGAAGGCTACATGAGTGATAACTACATCATTTTAACTACTTAACATTCTTTCCCATTTAGGTAGATATAGAAGAGATTGTCTATTTAAACTAATTATTTTAAATTCACATTCTTTAATTAAGGAAAAAAATGCCTAAGGTATGTTTCTTTGAGCTATCAAAACTCTTCCTTCGTTTTTGCAGTGCTTCATTAATCGAATAAATGAACCTGTAACTGAATATAATTTAGTCAGCTATGTGAAGATATAGTCTTTGATTAGGACTGAAATCTATAATTGTAAAGAAGAGGAAAATAGTTTTATTTTTTTACGTGAATATATTATATTGTGATAGTTATTTCTTCCAGAATGATATTTTTTTAAAAAATTAAATTAGTAGACTTTTGGAAGTAGGAAGTACTTTAGAATTCATCTGGGTTAACAACTTCACTTTACAGATGATATTGAGAACCAAAGAGTAGAGGAACTATTAGGGTGACACGTTTGGTCAAAGTAAAACCTGGATCTCTCAATAGTTTCTTTGTCCAGTGCTTTTCATTTTGTAATGTATGTAATTATCTCAAAATCATTCTAGATGCTATTAAAAAGAAAGAGAGAGTGGAGAGAATGCCCAAGGAAAAGGATGTGAATGCCCTTTCAGTGAACCTGTGAAGTTCACATAGTGGGTCTCCAGCATTCGTTCAGATACAATGCATCTGTAGTGGGGATAATCATGCTAATAAAATTGATTTTTGCTTTTTAGGTGAGAGTTACGTGTGTGCATCGAACGAACCATTTCGTAAAGTTGATTACACCAAAAATATTAATCCGAACTGGTCTGTAAACATCAAGGGTGGGACAACCCGAGCCTTGGCTGCTCCCTCCTCTGTGAAAAGTGAAGTGAAGGAAAGTAAAGATTTCATCAAACCCAAATTAGTGACCGTGATTCGAAGTGGAGTGAAGCCTAGAAAAGCCGTGCGGATCCTTCTAAATAAGAAGACTGCTCATTCCTTTGAGCAGGTCTTAACAGATATCACCGAAGCCATTAAACTAGACTCAGGAGTGGTCAAGAGGCTCTGCACACTGGATGGAAAGCAGGTGAGACGTTTCTAGCCCCCAGTTCTCCATCTTACTTTTAAACTCTCCCTGTACCATGGTGGTTACATATTTGACAATATGAATTTCATAGTCTGTTAGAAATTATTCTAGTAGTCCTACTTGAGAAGAGTGTGTGTGTGTGTGTATGTGTGTGTGTGTGTGTGTATGTATATGTATTAGTCTTTATCATAAAAAATGTAAGCGGCTTACCTGTCTCTACCTGAAGATCTCAAAAGTGAATTCAGAGAAATCAGTAATATACTTCTTATGGTCACTGGATGGAAAGTATAAACTTCTGAGGGAAAAGTGTAAGTTGAAGAGGCTTCCTAAATTACGTGGGATGTTCTCTATTTAAGAATATCTATTGACTAGTAGAGTCATTATGAGTTTGGGTAAATCGTAGGAGTAAAAATAAAAGATATTTAACATTTTTTAAAAAGCTTTCCCTGCCCACTTACGTATAATATGGAAAATGCATTTCAAAGAAAGTGCTTTTATAAAAATGTCCATATGAGTTTCATAGGGAACAATGGAGATAATCAACATTTCTGAAAAATATACACAAATTACATAGGAAATGCAAGTCAAATTATGGTAACAATATACCAGGAATCTAATGGACTAAAAAAAAGGGCAAATTGAAAGACACACGAATATCAATTATACAGAAAATGAGTTTCACCACAGATTATCATTCCTAAAAAGAAACATGTGGCTTCTGAAGTGTATTTTTTTCTAATTTTAGTAAAGTTAAATTGTTTATATTTACATTGTATTAAACATTATAGTTTCCAACATTCAATTTGTTTCTTCATTCCATTTTGTCTTTTCCCTCTAACATACTTAATTTGTTTTGCAGTGTTTGGCTCATGTAGTGCTGAGAATGAATAATAAAAAACACTGGAGCAGTGTCTTCTGGAAAAACACAATTAAAATAGTTTTCTAATTTCCTAAGACCAGATCTAGTTACTAAGTCTTACTAGGTCTTACTAGGACTATAAGGATCCTTCTAATTAGTTAATGGTTAGAAGGCGTAACACTTCATTGCAGCCTGCCCCAAGTACAAATGGAAATGGACACTTTACAAATTGAGTTAATGGCACAGCACAACACAAAACACCTTAAGATTCATTTTGCAAGTAAGTGAAAATATTTAGACTATGAGACAGAAAGGAGATTTGGTAAATAATTGATTCTTGGCAAACACAGGGAAGACAGGAAATATAAGGGACAAATATTTAAGATACCTAACAAGCAAAAATGAAAATCATAAATACACCAAATTAGAAAACATAAATGTTTAGTAAATGGAAATGAGATTTTAAAAATTGAAACTCAGATTTGGAAATCTCCAAATGTTCTTCAGGGAAAATATACGTGAAATAAAGAAGTTGAACATCTAATTGAAATAGTAATTGTTGAAATTTTAGTAGTTATCTAAAAATTTGTCTTCAAAAAGGCACTAGACTAGAAATATTTATATGTAAAAATGTTAACTAAAGCACAAACAACCCCAAATCGTCAATGTATTAAAGAATAATACACCGCTATAAGTAGGACTTAAGGACAGAAATTAAAGGATGGCTAACTATTAAGAAACCTGTTTCTACATGAGATCTAGAGGGTGGAGACTAAGAGCACACATTGTCCCAAAAAGCTGTCACAAAGGCATTTCAAAAAATACAAAATCTATGTTCAGTTAAAGATTTAGTTATAAAAATGGAAGGTGAATTCTCTAGTACACTGAAGAAAAAAAAAAAAGAAGGAAAAAAGAAATTCCTGTCTGAAACAAAAAGCCCATGTATTGGTGAACAAGTGAGATACTGGAAGTATTTCCGTGACAGTCAGGTCCAAGATAAGGACACCTGATAGCACCAATATTCAACGTTCTTTTATATATTCTTCCTGATTTTTATTTATAGTTTAATTGTCATTTCAATGAGACTCTAAACAAGATTTTCTGGGTAATGGGAGGAGGGATACCTGACAAAGTGATTTTAAAAGTTAATCTGGAAAAATAAGCAGGAAAATTTTGAAAATAATGATGAATGGGCTCTCATGCTATCAGATACTAAATCATCATCCTCATACCACGCCAAAAATAAATTCCAGGTGTTTTAAAAATATAGCTGTCAAAATGAAACAAAAGAACTAAAAGAAAATATGTCAATGGTTATGTTGAAATGGGAAAGAATTTTCTATGCGTAAAAGTAGTGGGAAAATCACAAAGGGAAAAGTTGGTCGGACAACATAAAAATTAAAAATTTCTAGGTGTCATAAGGGTTATATGCTTTTATATTGAGTTATAGTAGTTTAACATGAAAAAAACTAACGCTAAAATGAGAAGATGGATAAAAGACCAAACAGACTATTTGAAAGGGTAGAATTATAAATACTAGCATAAAAAAGTTGTCTTACTGAAAAGTTTTTAAGTAAAGCAATGAGATATTATTTTTAATATTTTAAATGGACAGGTTTTTATAAAAGAATGTCCATTTTTTTAATATGCAGTGAATTGACATTCTCGAAGACTGATGGAAATGTAAATCTTTACAGAAATCTTAATCTTTATAAATCTGTATAAAGATTTATAAATCTGTATAAAGATTTATAAATCTTTATAGAAAGCAATTTGTTTTTTACAACTATACAAATGTTTTTACTATTTGAAGTAATAAATTAATTTCTGTGGATTTATCCTAGATAATGTGAAATGCAAACATAATTATGCATAAGAATTTTCATTCCAGCAATAAGAGCCAAAGATTGGAAACAATTTAAAATCCCCAAAGTAGAAAACAGGTAGACAATATTACCGTAGAATTCCTATATAGTGGCCATTGTAAATTATGTTTGGGGGTATGTTTAAAGACATGGGAAGATGTTAAGTGGAAAAAGCAAGGAAGAAACTCTATAGTATGTTTTCAATTTTGTGTTAAGAAAGAAAAGTAGAGGAAGAATTTTTTTTAAAACTAATTCAGAAGGAAACAAGCTTATAGTTGCCATCAGAAATCCAGTATTTGCTGTTCTGATTTCCACTACTACTTCTTCATGTCTGCTTAGAAGCGAGAACTCAAGCACTGAGAAAGAAAACAAAGACTGATTTCAATCAGATTGCAGAAATTAGAACGTTGTGAGTTAATCCTTGAAATTTTGGTATGTGGCTATGAAATGTTGCTAAAAGTATCTGTTTTGTCGCTGTTTATGTCTTATAGAACTTAATTTTAAAACTTTCAAGTAAACATTTCTTTGGAAAAATTATAAATTTAACTTTTGATAGATACAGCTTTGGCTATTGTATTTTCAGACTGCCAGGTATCCTTAAAAGCTGTAGTTTTCTTGTTGCTGATTCAACATCTGTACTATTAGGTTGCTATTTAAAACGTTGAGTCTATTTTTTGGTTGATATGTGTTATAAAGAGAACATTAAATCTTGTTTTGAAATAGCCTGAAGAATTTTGTCTTATGCTTAAGATTAATGCAAATCTTTAAATGGGCAGTGTTAATTTTGATTTTATTTTATAAAGTGATTTTTTTATAGGTATGTAAAACTCTGCTCTCTGAAAATTCTCAAGAAAAGGACAGCTGTGCTTAGGTGAAGAGAAAGGAATGAGAAAAGAACTAAAATCTGTTAATGAGTTGTCTCTGCACAAAATTTTAGACTGTCTGCCTTAACTTTTACATCCTTTCCTGGTTATTTCCTACGTAGATTCGTTGTTCATCTTAAAAGAATCTGATCTTAGACCCAAGGATAGAAATTAAAGAGTTTATAGGCATTTCATCATAAATAGTCACTGATCCCATCCTGACACCTATGCCAGAGTTTTAGGGTGCGCTGGTTATCCTTTATGGGCTTGAAAGCTTTCCTGATTGAAGAGACAGTGGTGTGTCATGTGCCAGTAGCATTTATGTCGTTAAAACAGTGTCCCTGCATCTAATCTTCCTTCGAAATGAATGGTCACATCCTCCTAGTAGTATTGACTCCATTTAAAAGGTCTGACTTGGTTAGTATAACTAACTCATGTGTTTTATGTCTCCTTATAAAATCACTTGAAATAAAATCATATTTTAGGATTTTATCCATGTTAACTGTTGGGTTTTCTTTAGCGTAGAGCAGTGTTTCTCAACTGGATACAGTTTTGTCCCTAGGGGACATTTGGCAGTGTCTGGGGTCATTTTTTGATTGTCATGACTGGAGGTGGGGATTCTACTGGCATGTAGTGGATAGAGGCCAGGATGCTGCTAACCATCCTACAATGTACGGGACAGACACAACATAATTCTTTCGGGTCCAAAATGTCAGTAACACTGAGATTCAGAAATCCTTGTGTAAAGCAAGTGAAATGATTTGAAAGGAAATGATATTTGTTCGAATATTAACTTTGTTATCAATTAGGCCACATGGTAAACTATTTCACAATTTATAGTTGTGCTCATAGCCTGTCTAGCCACTTTTTATCTAATTGAGGCAGGTGTGTTAGAACGTCATGGTTTATATACCGGGATTTTTTTGTTGTCTTAGATTTCAATCTGTTGGTCTTTCTTGTATGAGGTTGACGTGCAGTTGGCTAGTATAGCTTCACAGGGGATTAAATAAAGACGTCCAAAATGGTTTTATAGGTATTCAAAGAAATCATTACTTAATCTTGTGGGGTTTTAAGTATTTAATACTTAAAAGTGATGTCATGATTATCAATTTTTTAAAAAATACATAACCTATGTATTTATAGATGGGATGATTAGAAAAAATAATTTGAATACAGAAGTCATGACAATTCTCTTAAGTAATTTTCTTTTAATTTGCAATTATTTTGGATTAAATGTTTCACTTTTGTTTCTCTTTTGAAAATAAAACCTTGAACTTTTAAGTTAAAGGAATTGTATACCTTTTAAATTTTTGGAAAGTCAGAGTGACTTTCTTATAATAAACTGCAGCAGGAGGAGTTCTTTAAAAAAATGTCTTTATTCTGTTAAGGGCTGAAAGGTCCAAATATAGCTTT